GCGCATATAATATAATAATTTACGGATTTTGATAAAAGGACCTTCTATATGCAGAATAAATGTAAGGTTGGATGCTGGTGTAAAGCCAAGGTATCGGAAAGAGGATACTTCGGTGGGCAGAATGTCAATAGATTCGGGAATGGGAGAGGGTCGAAGTCGAAAAATACACTGGACTGAATTTCGCTCGTTAAGTAGAAGGCAACGTAAAAAATAGCCTACGTTGCGTCCTATATCAAAAAATATTCTTGCGGATTAATAGCACTCCGAAAGCGACTGAATATCCAATGCCTTTGTGAAATTGAGTGATTTGACTCATGAACCGACCTATTGTGTTTGAATAACCTGTCACTTTTGTCTTCCGTTACGGTCCGGGATGTCGGTCACCATCTTGCGTATTCGAGGTCTACCTTATTCTGCTACCGCTGATGATGTGATAAACTTTTTCAAAGGTTTATATTTTTTGCTCAATTAATTTTTTAGATGTATCGATCAAGGGTGGAAAACGCGGCATCTCGTTCCCCCAGGGACCGAATGGCCGTTCCAACGGCGAAGCCTTTATCGAGCTAGAGAATGAAGACGAACTCGAGAAGGCAATGGCCCATCACAACGAGCATATGGGAAGGAGATACATTGAAGGTAATGCAGGTTAGCATGACGCATTTCGTAGTTTTTCGTTCTGATGAGGCCGAAATGAAAAGGGCAATGGGTTGGCAGCCTGAGCGCAATCGCAAGGAGCATGTTGCCAGGCTTCGTGGCCTACCCTACGACACGGACAAAAAGGATATCTTTACGTTCTTCAGCGGTGAGTGCTTTTTGGTAATTAGAAAGCCGACTATTGACTGCAGATTTGGGCGACCTGACCATTTGGCTACCCGTCTCGGCGAAAGTTGCCAGTCATGGAAGTTAACAAATACCGTGGTCACTGTTCATTGAGCGCGGGAAGTAATTATAAATTTTTCGGCTTCAAGTAGGTGTGATAGGCGAGTTTTACTTGGCATCTGTTGCTAGTCTAGTTCTTGGCGTAGACAGTTGATGGTTTCAGTAATTTCACACAAATCATTAGGTGATTGTCATCGAGTGTTGTGTCAAGCTTGATTTTGCTGTTGGTCGAAATAGAAGAACGCACCTAAGCCCTCGTTTTGCGATCGGGTATTGCGGTCGCGGGCGTGCTCACTTG